ACTGTGAGTTTTGCCACAATATGCAGTGGTATCCAGGTGCCCCTGTAGTGCACGCACAGTCTCTTTAACAAAAGACACTGGGAAAGGAGGATACTCACTTGTAGAAGATTGAAAAGAGATGCTTATCTTTCATTTTGCACAAAAATCAATTCACAGTGAATTTAGAAACCTAGGGATTAAGCATGGACCTTTGAAACGAATGAAAGAAAATACACAGGAAACACATGAAGCCACTGGTACAGCGAAACTTCCACAATAGGACCCCTCTAACACAGGGAATAATAGCAAGTATCAACAATTTGGAGTACTTCAGGTTAAAATGTTCTTCACAGCAAGGGAAACAACTAACAGAGTAGTAGCCTACCAAATGGGAGAAAAATCTTCCCAGCTACTTTTCTGACTTACAGAGAATATTTTTATCATCTCAAAAAATTAACACCAAAAAATGAAATAGCCCATTCAATAAATGGGCAAATGAACTAAAAATACATTGACTAACAGAAGCACACATGGCCAGAAAAAAAAAGTACATTAAAGAAATGTTCTTCACCTTGAGATATCAATGAAATACAGGTCAAATCTATTCTGAGATTCCATCTCACTTGAGTCAGAATAGCTATCATCAAGAATACAAAAACAAAACAAAATGAAATGCACACGCAATAAGTGCTGGCAAGAATGTGGTACTAAAGAACACTTCAGCATGACTGATAGGAAAGTATACTTGGAGAGCCACTATAGAAATCAGAGTGAGACACTGCTGGAAAGCTGAAAGGACAGCCACTGCCAGAAAGCACATTTGCTCTAAGCACCACCCTCTGAGCAAGGGACCATATGACAGAGAGGACTTAGATTAGATCTCTCAACTTCTCAAACTTTCCATTCATACTTTTGCTTAAATGAACACTTGAGTATTTTTCTGTTATCTGTAATTCTGAACATTGTCTACTTGAAGGCTTGTAAAAACATGTATTTGTGCATTTTTGGTAACTTGCCTCCTGAAATTTGATTGTTTGCCCTAATGATGATACCTATTGATTTTGGAGGATCTTCTTATCATTTGTAATTAGAATATCATGTGCTTTTCAGTAAATGTCCATTTTGAGCAAAGCAAAAATATTCTGTGCATTAGAACGATATTTGAGGGGCTGGGAAGATGGCTCAGTGGAATAAGCACTTCCCTGGCAAGTGCAAGGGTCTGAGTTCAATCCCTGGTTCCGGAAAAAAAAAGAACAATATTTGAATATAGCCAAGAGTAACATATCTGATTTTTGTAAATGTGTAAAGATATTGGACTGTTTTCTTGTGGAATAACTGTGTAGCTATCAAGAGAGAAAAGTCAAACAACATAGAAGCTCAAAATCATTGTGGTCTCTGGTTGAATTCCTAACAAAATTCTTACATGCTTAGCCATGTAATTTGACCATGTAATCCACCATTTAAAGTCTCTCATTAGGAGTCCGCTGGAATCCCGATACATTAACATAGATTGAGTTTATCCATAAGGCACAATGTCAAAGCTCTCTTTTTAGTTAATTGCTATCTTTGTCATCAGCAAACTTGAATCCAAATGTCAAAACCTCCATTGATGTGGTATCATCATTAAGCTTCAAGTCATAACGCTATAGAATATCTATTATGGCTTTGGCATAAAGCTTAGATGCTGGATCTCTGGATTTTACCGATGCCTTTAGTGAGTCTGTAGGTTCAGTACTGTATTCCAGTTTCTTATTCTGTGTTAGCATGTAACTCTTACACTATTTTAGGACACAGATTATTTGGGAATGACAGAGGCCAGTGGCATAATACTGTAGAGTTTATCCAAAGTTCTCTCTGAAACAAAGACATTTCACTTTTAAATAAATATTTCCCACATATAAATGAGGCACACTTTAGAGGCATCTTTGACTGTTTCTTTGATAGAAGACAGAGTTGACTTCATAGGTTTTACAGTGGTCTCAAAATTCAATCAGCAATGGATTACTACCAACCTCTGGAAAATAGCGTATGTATTCAGTAGTGGTTAGTGATGATGGTAGAAAAAGTTGTAGAAATTTTTATGAATTAAAAATCCCTTCCAATTTTTGTAATTCTATGGAAAATTCAGATGACAAATGCATATTTGCAAAATAGAGCAACTAAGAGTTAAAGAATGAAAATGATTACATGAAATCCCTCTTTTGTAGGATCAGAATTCCAAATGGAAGACTTTGCTGTGAGAATGTTTGCCTAATGCAATACCAGAAACTTATAATGTAATTGTTTTTCTAAATATTGACTGGGATACATTTATAGTATCTGCTAGCTTTATGAAGTACATTAGGCCATACAAAACAGCAAAATATTGGAGTAAGTATGAATAATGTTAGGAAGGCATTTTCTTCTAGTTTATTTTAAAACCATAAATATAATTCATTGCTCCTGTGATAGCATTCGTTAATTCATTTTTCTTGTTACTCACAGCACTAATACACAAATGTTAATTGTTACAACAATTAACAACATCAGTAGTCTGAACCACAACTTTTAGTAGCAATTTCAAAAGGCCTCATTTATAATTTAGCATTCTGTTTTTCTCTCTCTGTCTCTGTCTCTGTCTCTGTCTCCCTCTGTCTGTCTCCCTCTCTGTCTCTTTCTCCTATGTGTGGTGTTACTGGGGATTCAACCCAGGGCCTTACTCATGCTAGGGAAGCCCTCTACCACTCAGCCAAACTCACTAGCTTTCTAATATTTTGGTGTGTGTCCTTGTAACAGCCATGGCGTTCTTATATTCAGTTTATCAGATAAAGTTAGTTTTCTTTAGTTTCTGATGGAGATTAACACTTCCATTTTACACAAATAACACTGATATTTGGTATGCCTAACATATATCTAGTCTTATTTCCTTTAAAAATTTCTACTGAATATTGTAGGATTCTTTTGTAGCAGAAATTCAGATTATGTCCACTTGTAGGCACACGTACACAAACAACACAAAAAATCAGTAGATCAACAAGACATTAATCCAAATATTACATTGTCAAAATGAACTATAGTTATAGAATTGCAAACAAAGAATTAAATACAAATGTTAATTTCAATAAAAGTTACAAAATTTGAGTATTGGTAAATCCCACAGAAAGCAGAAATAGGATAAACTTTATTACTATTTATACAACATTACTGAATGGTTAAGTTTATATATTGTTAAAATATAACAAATTCTATAACCTAAAACATAATTAAAAGTTAAAAACAAGATAATGCAATAATTTTCAAAGTACAAAGACCAACAATGAGCCAAGGCAACTGCTTGCATCCTCATAAACTCATGTATTTATTCACTCAAAAGATATTCACTGAGTGCCTTACCATTGAATAGAATGGACTCTATACTCTTTATTGGAAGAACTAGTACTTAGAAAAACAAACAAGTTACCTCCAGATCATGGGAATTCCTTAAAGGAAATTAATAGGAATCTAGCATGGCAATACTTGGGGTGGCAGATTAAGAAGGGCTTTTTCATGGGAGGTGGTAGTGTTCAAAAAATCAGTAGAGAAGACTCAGTGAAGAGCAAGAAGATGAGTGTTCTAGGCAGAGAGTACAAAAGCAAAGGCTGAAAGCTGGGTGAGAACATGGCATGAGATGCTACTAGAAGGGGAGAAATAGGATAGACCCTTCCAGGCATAGAGGGCCATATAGCCAGGACCTCGAATTGTCTTGTATAAGCTACTGAAAGTTTTAATCAGGGGGTGAATAGATCTACTTATGTTGGGGAGGCAGTTGGATAGGCAGGAAGATGAAGCTACTCTGCAGACCTCAATGAGAAGCAGTGGGGACTCAGACTCTGAAGGAAGAAGTGGAGATGTAAAGGATTTGATGTAGAAGAGCCAACAGGACTTGCTGAAGTTAAGCAAGGAATCAGAATGAAAGGTGATGTAGGACACTTTCTTCTTATTTAAAAATAACAAAGCATAAATGTTATAGGAAAAAGAATCAACCCAAAGAGGCAGGAACCGCTTAAGTTAAGTTATTCACATCGCTCCAGTCTGCACATGAAGGGTGGAGAAACTGTCATACCAAACTAAGGAATAGACTCAGTTCACTTGGATTTCTGATTGATATAAATTGGATTTTAGAGGTTGTATAATTTCCTATGTACTGAGCACTATGATAGATTTTTTACATAAAGTTGAAATTGACAGTTGAGGTTTGCGCCTACATCTCTTGTTTTCTAGAACTTTATATTCTTTCATGGCTTTGTGTTGCCTTATTGATCAGAAAACACATTTAAAACTGTATGAGCTTGACTCATAGTAGGTCTTCAAAAGAAATATTAGTGAAAACTGATGACAGAGAAATGTACTGACAAAATAATGAGAGGTATTCATTTCTTCCTGATAAAATAATAGAAGTGCTAAGTATTCTGAATTAATACCTCTGCCAGTCTGTAGAAAAAGACAGGAAAATAAGGTGTCAGGACAATATCAGATTACTCAGGACAAAACAAATAAACTGACAGATAAAAGGCTGATCACGTGTCTTACTAAGCTTCTTTGTAATAGTGTACTATGTAGAGAGAGATGAAGATGATAGATTGAATATAAAATTAGATTATATTTCAGAAATGTAAGACAGAAGAAAATATGTAAAAGAAAAGGACTGTTCTTTGTCACCATCCCATTTACCTGTGATGCTCAGAAAATGGGTTCCTGGGACCCAGCCCATCTGAAGACATTCTGAAAGCAGGAAACTGCCCATCCACCAGGTTCACGTGACATTGACACAGGAAGGTAAAAGGACCATGCTTTGGAATATACGTTCAGCTTCTTTATTTTATAAATCAGCCTGAGAAATGTAAAGCAACCTGATTGTTAAAGGTTATATCATTGCTTTTCATTAGAGCCCAGTCTACATCAGTCACCTGCGGGGCTGGCTTTGGTCCACCCCATGCTCAGATATACTTGTCCAGCTCCAGCTGTGGGCCTGCTAACCAGAGATATCCCCACTTTTCTTCCAGAATCACAACCACGGCTGCCTGCATGATGGACCTACGGCGGTATCCACTGGATGAACAAAACTGCACGTTAGAAATCGAAAGCTGTAAGTCTTTCTGGGAAACCACCAGACTGAACTCTGCTTTAAGGCTGTCCCAAGGCAAAAGCCTCCTACACTGGTTCATGTCCAAAGGTCCTGCAAATCATCTCTTAGCTCATGAAGTTTAGCGAGCAAGCACTGACAGCATCTTCCATCAATAATAGTGCTGCATTCTCACTCTTGGCCCTAAATATGTGAGACAAATCTTTATAGATGGAATAACTTGGCAACAAAAGGGCTGTGCCAGGCATTTGAAATGCATAGTTGGTACAAACGCTTACACGAGGCTTGGAAAATCAATAGAAGTGGAAGGATATCACAAAATGTCCTAAGTGTTTCTGCCTCTCATAAACTTTCTCTGTTTATAATTATAAAGTAAATATGGCCTCCTAAATTAAAACATTCATAGAGTAATTTTAGGGGACTATTTTCTTATTGTATTTTTGGTTTTGGACACTATATTCAGTGTCTAAAGTTTACATTCATCTTGCTAGTTTGGGGTGTGTGTGTGCATGTGTGCACACAGGTGTGTGTTCTGCTTCATGTGCTGACTGGTGCAATTTGCTTTTATATTCTATGTCATAGTTTTAATTTCTGTGTTGATTTCATTCACTTCCATGTTGGACAGGCTAAAATGCTGGTTTTTTAATCTGTCAGCAGTAATAGAAGGTAGTGGGTTGAGGTAGAAGGGTGTTTTAAATCTCTTTTTCTCTATCAGTTATTTGGGATGTTTTTAGACATCATTACATCAAATATTAGGAAGCTGATAGTTGTGAAGAGTGGCTGGACTGCTGAAGAATTCCTCGCAGACTCTGTGAGGAATTTTACCTGTGGCAAGCATCATGACTCTATGACTGCCCCGAGCAAAATGGACCATGTAGGACAGATCATAGATATTTTCCCCCATTTCAAAAGATAGCTTCCAGGGATAATTAACTTTGTATTTATTTTGAAGAAACCAGTTGTATATTTATATTCCAGATCAGCATGATTTTCAAATTATCTTAGCCTCACAGAACTGATGGGATCTATTAATGAAATCTGTCTATAGGATTTCAATGACAATTTGTTTGCAAATAGCTTTAGGACATTGTAGCAATGCTGATTTTCTTGACTTATGGTACGACGTATAGAACAGTGTCCTTCAAAGTCCAGCTTCTTGGGTAGGCTCAAATTGCTGATGTAAGGGTGTTTTAGAAAAAGAATGCTTTGTACCACTCATGGACGTTTGTCATAAAAATAGCATGTGAGGTAATTTTGCTGAGATTTCATACAGCTGGATATGGGCGAAGTGCTTTCACTTATTGTATGTGCCTTAAGGTCTTCTTAAAACTCTCAGGTAACTAAATCAGGACTATTCTGTCTTAAGGAACTGAAGCCTAAGGAAATGAGCAACACCGAAGTGCTTCACGGTGTTATTAAATTGTAACTTGGACAAGATTATTTAAAAATTACCATGATAATTCGTACTATTCTGTATATCTCATTTCAATTTATAAAGACTTGGGAAATGCATATACATTAATTTACATCTTCTCTGTATGAATAGGTAAGCAGACAGAGAAGTTAACCTGACTTGTCAATCCAATATTAAGTGAGCTTTGTTACAGAGCAACTCTGTGCTGATGTGGTAATTGACAGCTGAATTACTTTAAGAAAGACATTGGTATTGGAGAGATTAGCAGATCCCTATTCTAATATAACCTATTCTGAATGTTAAGAACACAGCCTTATGTTCTTAGGGAAATTTGAAATTGCACTTAGCCAGAGAGCAAATCATTGTTATAGAGAATGAACTATGACAATGCATTAATAATATATGTGATTGCCAGGCTTTGTCATTAGGAGTTTACTAAGTATGTTAAAATAAGCATAACTTCCTGTCTCCCAGGTGATGCCTAACCTTGTTTGTCTACTCCTTTAAGCAGATCTGAAACATTCCCTCTCTACTTCTCCCTCCACCTTCTATTTTTTCTCTTTGTCCTCTCTGCTCTGATTTTTCTTCCTTTCTCTTTCCCTCCTTTTTCCTTTCTAGTGAAAATGACCCTAATAGTAGTATTGCTCAATGACTAGTACCTTGCATAACATATTAGAAGTACTGGTTCACTTTCAGAGATAATAAAAATAGCTATTTCTAAGAGGCTTGAGGAGGGGAACATTAGAAATGTGTGTATTGCTTTTATTGATTCATTTAGTTAAGAATTAAAAAAAAAAAAAAAAGGAAAGATCTGGCAAGACAGATCACTGGACTAAGCACTTGCTTAGGCAAGTGCAGGAGCTATGGTTCTAATCCCGGCACCACATGCCCCACTGACCCTGCCCCCGGGGCATACTGAACCAGTAACTAAATCTGAGTTTAGTGACACACACCTGTAATCCCAGTGCCAAGGAAGCTCAAAACAGGAGGATCACTGTGAGTCTAAGCTACCTGGTGAGACCCTGTACAAAAAAAAAAAAAAAAAAAAAAAAAAAGAATTTACTCATTCATTGAATATTTTGAGCACTTTATTTATAAGATATTTAATAATCTTTAGAAATATGAGAACAATAATAGACAATATTCTTCCTGTTTTTAATTATGTCAAAACAGATAGATATAATTTAAATAAACATAGATGAATATAAATCTGTATTAGTGATAAGTCTGCCAAGGTAAATATTTTATGCTAAAGAAAGACTATATAAAATTTTCTTCAATATAGAAGTGCTGAGGATTCCAGGTTATCGGTACAGACTATATTTACTTTATTAATTTTCTTAAATATAGAGGGATAGATTGTATTGTATTGTAATCCCAATACAATTAATGGGATTTCAGAAGTAAATGGGTTAATGGGTCTAGTGATATTTATCTCTATACATTCTCAGAAAAATAAATTGTTAAAAAACAAGAGAATCCATTCCAAGGTATTTCAATCCTGCCTTTTAATGCTGCCTTTACTCTGTATGTAGCATGATCTATCTATCTATCTATCTATCTATCTATCTATCTATCTATCTATCTATCCATCTATGTATCTATCCATCCATCCATCTAATGATATAGATAGATAATGTTTTTCTTCATCTTATTCTGCACCTTTCAGTAGTGATTGGGAAAAAGATTAGAATACTTGTACATTTTTCTAGGGAATGTCATGCTAAATGCACCAAATGCCAACTATTCTATTAAACAAAATTCTTTTGCATCTTCTTGTTTAGGAATGAATTCTAGTATAAAAATATTGAATTGTTCCAGGCATGTCAGTGTTTCACAATACAAGGGTTGTCAAATATAATTTAAGACTCCTAGTGCAAGTCAAAGATTTCTGTTTCAGCAGAGTTCTGATCACTTCGTAAGGACACAGCATGCTATTGCACTGTGAGGTCCATTAGTATGTTCTGTTCAAGAGAAAAAAATCAGTGAAGATGATGTAGATTACATGTTTTTGAAATGTGAATAGTAAGGAGCCTACTCTCTCATGTTTTGTAGCAACTTAACTTGGCTGTACGAAACTACAGAATTCTGTCAGCTGGATCCATTGATAGATTGCCAAGTTGCTAAAATCTCAAGGTCCTTTCCGTCTCATTTATTTTTATTTATTTATTTATTTTTGGCAGAACTGGGGATTGAACTCAGGCCCTACACTCTTGCCAAGCAAGCGCTTATTCTACTGAGCAATCTCCCCAGTCCTTCTCATTTATTTTTAAATGTGCTTTTATCTCATCCCCCCCTTTTTTTTTTTTTTTTTTTTTTTGGTAGTACCAGCAATCGAACTCAGGACCTTATGCTTGCCAGACAACAGGCAAGCACTTATTCTACTGAGCTATCTCCTCATCCTTTGTCTGGGTGTGGTGCTGGTCAGCCTCATATCTCAGAAAATCGAGTGTGCGTTTAGGACCCTCACTCTCAATATTGCTGTATGTTCATCAGTCCCAGCCTTTGTGAGATAGGTAATGAAACCCCAAAGTGTAGAACTTTCTGAGCAGCTGTTTGTAGGAAGCTTATGCCAAAGTTAACTCAGATTGGCAGGTATCTTCTTTTAAGATCTTAAAAAATAGTTCTGGCCCTGCCCCTGTGGTGGGCTGAAACAGAGATTGAGACTGGGTGTGGTGGTGCGTGCCTGTAATCCCAGCAGTTGGGAGGTTGAAAACAGGAGGATCATTATGAGTCTGATCTATGTAGTGAGACCCTGTAGACTTTGTACTAAATACATTAAAAAAAAAAAAAAAAGCCCACACCCTGCCCTTTGTGACAACATCAGACACTTTTTTCCTGGCCTCTCAAACTCACTGCTTATGTAAATGACATTGAGAAAGTCATCCTTACTTTAGCCTCAATTTCCTCCTAGGTAAATTGGGATACTGACATCTTCCATGTAAGGGTATTATAAGATTAAAAAGAAATATTTAAAAAATCTGTATTAGTTAGTACATGGCAGATATCTTATAAGTAGAAAGTTCAGTACTTACTGTTGTTACTGCAAGAATACAACTTCCACGAGCTCAGCGCTGCATCACCTTTCTCCACCTCTGCGGAGCTTCCTCTGCCCTTGCAGGGACATTCCAGGTAAGTCTCATTGTCTGTAGTTCTCTCTGCCTCTTCAAAGAGTCTTTCTCCAACTGTGCCTCAGTATAAAATGCAGATTAACTTCTGCTACAGAAAGCAGAATTAAAAATTAGCTTCAGAGCCTAAATGTAGATATTGAAATAGACTTTGATATCCATGCTTGGACGAAGCGAACGAACAGGCCATTTGTGGATATAATCTCTTAAAGATTTCATTTACATTTAAACAGTCCAAAAACAGCAGTCACGACCTGCTGGACATCAAACTGTGAGAGTGGGAGAGATCCTCGCTACACACACCTCTCCTTTCCAGAGATGTTTATTGTGTTTTATGAAAGCAAAAACATAAACCATGTCTTTTGTTGTATTGAATTCTAATTTGAATATCATAAAGCAACTTGTTAGGATGTGGATGGAATCAAGGCTATATTTTCTTTATCAACAATTTCATTCCATAG